GAATAAAAAATTAAAAAAATTAATCATGTTTAGTGCCATTCGAAAGCACTTTTAATTTCCTATCTTATAGAAAAAAATCGTTGTCCCGTGACTAATAGTTATCGAGAAAATTGCAAAAATTGTCTCAAAATAGACAGTGGCGTATCGCGCCTTTACTTTTGGGAGGGGGCAAGCTGGACATTCAAATTTTTAACACAATGTAATTGTCTGAAATTTCTTGCAAATGCCTTTTTAGAGTTTTAAGCTAAACTTTGATTTTTTTTTAAACTTTGGCTTAATTGTGTGATTCATAAAAAACAAAACAAACCAAAAAATACTTTTATCAAACAAAATCCATTTTTTTGTTGAAAAATTATATTTAATATGCCGCCACTGTTTGTCAATTGACTGGAGAAGAGGACGATAGCCTCGGCCATGACAATTCAGTGTTGGCAACTTAATTTTAGTAACTTACAGCAACAGTTGTCAAAATTATATGCCATGTTGATAATTTATGTTGGTAGTTTTGGGACAAAGTCCATAGAATGAAAGTCCATTGCTACCAACTGATGAAAAATCGTGTTACCAACCCAAAATTCCCACTTTTGGTGTTTTCTTTTTCAAAACTGTCATATCATCGAAATTGTTCCTTTTTATATCAAAATTGATAAGAAATATACTTACAATAATTCAAATAATTTATTTAATAATAATAAATAATACAGATCTTAACAATTGAGCAATCCCTAATCCTAATCCCGTTTCAAAATCGTCCCAATTTGTGCAAATCCCGATTTGAACGCGGCCAAAAGGCTCCAAAAAGTCGCTAATCCCAAAACGGAAAAAGTCGCAATCCTCGCATCCCTGGAGGTGAAACTGGTGAAAGCCGCAGTTTCGAGGCCAAAAGCCAGACTCACAATCCCGAAAACGTATCCCAGAATTCCCAGAAAGTTGTGCAGGAATTTGATCGTCACCGGAGGGATTATTTTGGTGAAAATGTGGGATTTGGCCGCTGCTAATCCCAGGATTTGGGATAACAGGACGAAAATCCAGGACACTAGACCTGTCCAGCCATGGGTGGAGTGGAAGTGTTTGCCATGGTTGTGGTCGACCATGAGGGCGATTCCAGTGGTTACTAGGATGGCGCTGAGGAAGAGGAGAATACCATGGAGCCAGTATTTGGTGGGGCGGGGGAGGGCGAGGGTCCAGATGTTGTCGCTGGAGAAGAGGATGATGGCTTCGCCCATGAGGGGGACGTACTGGAAAAATGGGCAAAAAATAAAAAAAAAAGGGAAAAAGCAGTACATATCTCAAAATCTTGGTCATTTTGTAAGAATTGACAAAGAAGTTAAAAAAGAGAAAATTATTTCATTGAAATTGAAGAAAAAAGAAAAAACGTGTAAAGTTAATTGCAAAATAATAAAAGAAGTAAAAATTCAAATGTTAATAAATTTAAACTAGAATGAAAAAAAATCATTTAATAAAAAAAAGAGCAAAAA